TAAAGAGATTGTCCACTAAATATTAGTTCAAATCTGAAACCCACAAGATTTCTTGTCGCGTTGCCTAGCAAACACGTGACAGTATATTGATACCCAGGTTGTATTGTAGTTCATGTGTGAAGGTTTTACCTTATGGATATATTGATGCTTAGCTTTTGTATTGTCTGTAGGTAGGTTTTGTATGGTGTCCTTGAGATGTAGTTAGAATGCTGGGAGCAGAGTTATATCAGCAAAAACAATATCATTAACAATGTAAACATCTAATCAATACCATAGCTACTTCCATTTTACTAATCTTATTTCATTTACTTGACCAACATATTGTAATATATTTAAGCAGGATGTATCCTGATGTAAATATTGATGTTTTAGTAGAGCTATATGATTGCACAAAATGTATCCATTTTAGACAGACAACTAAAAAGAGACATACTGTAACATGAATACCCATTGCCAGGCCACAGCTCCATAAACATGTTCCAGCATGCAACAGTAGAAGGATGTCATCTCTAGGCTATGCCTGAAATACGTGTACACAACAACAGGCAAGGCTGTGTTTTATTTATGCCCATGGTGACATCACATAACAGTAGGTAGTGGTCACGTGACATGTTTTCTTTTCATCCGCGGAACTGATGCATGCGCTGTGACATCACAAACAGTGCATAGCGACATGCGACATGCGTTTTCTGTGAGCCGTGTCCGTGCCACGTCTTCATAAGTGAGCAGATTCCGAATAAGCAGGTAGTGAATGAGTTAGTGAGTATGTAATTAAGTAATTAATTAATTAATTAAGTAAGTAAGAAAGTAAGCAGTTGTTGGAAGAAATACAGCAGTAAGCTGGAGGAGTACAGCAAGCAAGAAGTAATCTTGATAAGTAGAGAGGAGTATAAAAAGTCAGCCTTTGAGGATTTAATGTGTGATTTGAAGTCGTTACATGTGCTGTAGTATATCGATATTAGGACTGTGTAATTTAGTGAGACTTTTATAATTCATGTGTTATAAATCCATTGCCAGGAAATGGATAGTGAAGACTAGTGGAAATGTATTGAGAAAATGAGAGTAGAGTGACTGTAAATTGTGCAAATCAGCATTACTACTCTGTCCAAAAAGTATCCGACCTTGGTCCGGGACAACAAAATTCTGTATCTGGGTGGTTAAAATACCTAGTCCCCTTCAAAGTAGGCCCCTTGTGACTCCACACACTTATCCCAGCGGTCCTTCCATCGCTGGAAGCAATTCTGGAAGGCTCCTTGGGAGTGGCATGCAGCTGTGCCATTGTATTCTGTATGATGTACTTGCGGCTGTCAAAACGGGAACCTTTTAGCAGTGTCTTCCATCTCGGGAACAGCCAAAAATCACAAGGAGCCATGTCAGGAGAGTAGGGAGCCTGGCAAACCTGCAGAATGCCGTGCTTGGCCAGAAAACCCTGGATCAGATGTGATGAATGAGCTGAAGCGTTGTCATGATGCAACTGCCAGTTGCGTGCATCCCACAGCTCTGGTCTCTTGCACCGAACCTCATAATGAAGATGGCAGAGGACTTCTTGGTAGTACTCCTTATTGACATTTTGGCCTAGTGATGCATACTCATGATGCACAACACCTTGGTAATAGAAAAAAAACAGTCAGTATCACCTTCACATTGCTCTGAACCTGTTGTGCTTCTTTGGGCCTTGGGGATGTTGGATGCTTCCATTGTGACGCCTGGACCTTAGTTTCTGGGTCATATCTGTACTCCCATGACTCATCACCAGTGATCACAGTCTTCAGGAACTCGGGATCCCCGTTGGTGAACTACAGCATGTCCTGCGTGACCTCAAGGCTGAGTTGTTGCTGCTCAGGCGAAAGCAGCTTGGGCACAAATTTTGCCGCCACTCTTTGCATGCCCAAATCCTCAGTTGAAATTGTGTTTGTGGAACCTCTGCTGATCCCCACCTCATCAGCAACTTCCCGGATGGTCAAACAACGGTCCTCCATGATCAGTGTCTGCACTTTTTCAGTGACATCAGCATTTTGGCTCGTTGACGGTCTCCTGGAACAGTGGTCACTGTCTGCTGACATACGACCATCTTTAAAGTGGTTGAACCACTCTTTAATTTTTAGTGACCCCTATTGCATCATTGCTGAAAGCCTGCTGAATTTTGTGGAATGTTTCCGCTTGGGTATCCCCAAGTTTCTGACAAAACTTGTAGCAGTATCGCTGCTCCAAGTGTTCTGTCATCTTGAGCGAAACGAGAATGTGACGAACACATGTTATACCATTTCGCTATCTGGCAGCCACAGCCGCATCCGGCAGTGTTGCGAGTCAGCAAAATATCACACACGCACACAAAAGTCCCTTCTATCACTACACTCATTTTCTCCATCCCTTTGGCCATTACTTACAGTGACAAAAATTAAAGTCGGATAAAGTTGGATAGCAGCGTAATGTGACAATATATTCATGAGTACCACCTGATGATGATCTTTAAGATAACAACTTGTAGTAGATATATACAGAAGAAAAGAATTATAATATCAGTTTTATTTATCAGATTTTGTGTTGACAGTCAATGAAGTACCTTAAAACACAAGATACACAAAATGAAGCCACCATTGGATTTTATATGTACATGCAGGAACTGACTTCACAGCAGTGGTTATGAAGTGTACTATTTTCTTGAAAAAAATATCATGCAGTCCACTGGAAATGGCAAACAGACTAAGAGACTAATAATTATGTTTAAGACTTTGTAATGTCAACAAAATTACTTTAAATTTCATGTCACGCTACATTCAGGGATAGTTACTCAAGAAAGTGTAAGAATTTAACAATGGAAGAATGTGTAGATTTGTGCATGTATGTACAAGTACATGTATGTGCAAGTATTTCAGGAGCGTCTTCCAAAGGGCATTCCCAGAAATGTCATGTGAATATGTTCAGATTTTCAATAATTCTGGAACTATGAGAATTTCAAGTTCAAGAATAACTTATACATAACTGAAGTGTTATCAAGAATTAACTCTTAATGTACAGGTCATATTGTAATAAATGTTCACATTCTGACCCATTCTCCTATTGAATGTTTAAATCCACAAAGAACTGCATTATCATGTATGTGTCATGCAGCACCTATTATTTGATAAAGTAGTTCATCTCACATGTCCAATTTGTGTTCATACTCCATATCTATCCAGTGACCTCACACTTGAAAACCTAATGGGCTGAGGTCTGGGGACCTTTGTGAACACAGAACTATGGGTTTTTAAGATTCTGCTTTTGTGTGTATGTGAGAAATCATGGGTATATTCATACAGTTCTGACACCAACTCATTTACATGTACGTTGTCTGACAATAAAGTTCACGAACTCATTGAGGTAAAAGTGCTACATACCTCATTGCTGAATATCACTATGATCACCTTCAAAGTACTCCCCTTGGGAAGATATGCACCAATGCCAGCTCCTAGTCTCCCCTTCAAAACAATTTTGGAACTGAATTTGCAGAATGGCCTTCAGTGCTGCAATTGTGTTACTTCTCGTCATCAACAGCATCAAAATGCCTTCCTTTCAATATTTATTTTATCTTTAGGAACAGAAAAATGTCACTGGTGCTAGATTTGTTGAATAGGGAGGATGTTTCAGCACAGTTATTAGTTTACTAGCTAAAAACCCCCTCACACAGATAATGGTCCTTTGGGACCACTTTTGCATACACCTTCCTCATGTCAAAGATCTTCAGTTAAGATTTCCCTAACTGTTTCTCTGTCAATGTTTGCTTATTCTGCTATGCTCCTGATGGTCAGCCAACGATTTTCACGCACAATTTGAAGAAGTTTTGCATTGTTTTATTTAGTTCCGCTCACTGCTGGCCGCCCTGGTCTCTCTTTGTCAGTGACATTCCCTCAGAAAAACGTGTCACCCACTTGTAAACTGCTGTTTTCTTTATAGCATTATTCCCATAAACTTGCACTAACATCTCTCTGATTTTGTTTCCACTCTTGCCAAGCTTAACAAGAACCTCTGACATTCTTGCGATGGCACACCGAAATGCACTCAAGCAATAATTGACGTCATTAGGAAGAGACTGCCATAGATCAACAATAACAGCTGTGAAACGCTAATTTGCTAAGTCATCAAACCATACTGAGGGTTCTGTCCACTGCTGCCATGTCAGCACACGCTGGTGAGTTCATGACGTTTACTGTCAGACTACATGTGCCATTCTTATACTTCATGTGCACATACTTCCATTACTGTTGAGAATCAGATCGATCTTCATAAAAAATTTGACTTCTCACTGCAATTTATTTCAGGAACAAGCTTCTGAAACAATGTCAAAGAGCCATGAAATTCAAACAGAGCAAAATTAAATCACAACAATTGTGAATCATCTTGCTTGATGGAATGTTGAAATATGGGGTCCAGGGCATTTACCTTGGTTGCTGTACTCTAGCAGTCACTTTACTATTATCAAATACAATCTGAGGCAGAAATTCGATTACTCTGAGAGGAGAATATATGTTGAGGATGTCTGAGAAAGTGAGATCAGGTTGCTGAGAAATTTTGGACCTGAGAGGGAAGTAGCATGAGGATGAACAAAACTGCATAAGGAGCAAGGAGGGTGAGATGAATCAGGCATGGGAGATATGAGAAATGTGTATAGAATTCAGTCAGGAAACCTTAAGGGACTAGTTGGAAGACTTAGGTGTAGATGGGGAAATGCTACAGAACGGATCATCATGAAATAAGGCATGTGGGTGTGGACTGGATTCATTTGGCTTAGTGATGGGCTCTTGTTAATAAATGATGTACAATTGTGTTCCATAAAAGGTGGTACATTTTTTAACTGGTTGACTAACTATTAGCTCCTCAAGGAGTCTGCTGCATGGAGTAAACTGGTCATATTAAAGGAAGAAATAACCAACTCAGGCGTTATATTCTGTCATATAATTCTATGCTTCATATTTAACAGTATGACACACAATGCAGAAAAAACTCTTGAGCAAATATTGATGTATTATATAATCATTAAGTTACCCATTTTTAATTGAGAGGCCTATACAAAAATCTTAATTGCTTACTGGATACATGTAACATGTCTGTGACCATTATTGTTTTAAAGTAAATTTTCTACAATGCAGACTGGATTTTAGGGAGAAGAGTTAGGACTAAACAAATTGTGGGTGTTTTGATGAGTTTTAAGCATAGTTTTGGACACAAAACCCTTACTACAGATATGACACTCATATGGTCTCTGTCCTGTGTGGTAACGCTGATGAATAACAAGCGACGAGCGTTGTGTGAATGTCTTATCACATTCATTACAACGATGGGGCCGCTCACCAGTGTGTGTGAGCTGATGCATTTTGAGGTAGCTTGCCTTACTGAATGCTTTACCACACACTGGGCACACATTTGGTTTCTCACCTGTGTGGATCCGACAGTGAGCCTTGAGAGTCTCATTACTGGTGAGGGCCTTGCCACATATATCACAAAGAAATTTGCTCTCCCCTGTGTGGCTCCAGATATGGAGCAGCAGAGAGCGTTTGTATGTGAAAGACTTGCAGCAGGCCTCACACTGATAGCGCTTGGGGTCCTGCCTTGAGTCTGGGTGGTGAGCTCGCTTATGCCCCATCATATTTGTTTTAGATGGATATGCTTTGCCACAAATATCACACTGATATGGACGGTCTCCAGTGTGCATATTCTTGTGTCCCTGTAGCTCTGTATTTGTGTGGAAACCCTTGCTGCATATGTCACATTCAAATCTGTATTCATTAAAGTGTCGTTTCTTGTGATTCACCAGATGGACCTTCTGAATACATGAGTAGCCACAGATATCACACTCATGAACTTTCTCACCTGTGTGAATTCGCTTGTGATCAATAAGATAGTATGAACGCTTAAACCGTTTGTTACAAATATCACATGTGTATGGGCGCTCCTCACTATGACTTTTCATGTGGATTTGTAAACGTCTGTTTAATGCAAACACTTTTCCACAAGTCTGACATTTGAACTCCTTTAGGGTGTTGTGGGTCCTCAAGTGAGAGTTATGCTGTGCACTGCTAATGAATGTCTTCCCACATATGACACAGTGATGAGGTTTGTCTCCTGAGTGGGTTTGTCGATGTACTCCTATTTGTCGTTTGCTGCAAATCTTCCCACAGAACTCACACACCAAAGAGCCTCTTCTTTCCTCAATATGTGGCTGTGACTCATTCCTGTTGAACCTGCAGCTTCGCTTACGCTGCCTCTCTGACTGGTCTTTTCTGCCATTTGTTGGCCTGAAACAGAAGAATTTTGTAAGAAAATATCTCTATATTATCACCTATATTCTTACTGATAAAGACAGAGAACATCATCATATGACATAGAGGAGAAGAAATATAATATTTAAAGACATTGTTCAGTTAATCAGTATTGTTATATTCTATTGCAAATGTTGATATATCACAGTCATACTCAGTGGCGTGCAGTACTATTTTTGTTAAGGGAAGCAGTGGTATCCAATAAACGAACTGATAGCAATCAACTCACCAAAATTTATGTCACTTATTGAGTCAATAAGGTCATTTTGTATTCTGTTCGATAAACTTGTAAATGCTGTACTGTATTCAGGGTGAACATTGAGTTTATGATCATATTTCCTCAACAAGTGAACTAATTCCACATAATTACCTTGGTCGATAGAATCCATGCTTTTGTCATGACCATGGAGGCCAAGTTGCCACTTTCCTAAATGGCAGATAATATCAAGCAAGCATTTCATTATTTCTCTATTTTCTTTCACATTTTCATTTCAGGTGCTTTTGATTGTCAAGTTGACAGTCAATTCGAGATTTCCCAAACATAACAAGTTGCATTGTTGAAATAATGCGAGTCTGAGAATTCTCATGTCGTTTCAATGATTTATGAAGGTTTTTGATATCACCAAACCCAGTCTTGTTCCATACTTTTTTCATTGAGAAACAATAGGCATGGCCAACAAAACAATTTTCCTATATTACGGCAACCAGATAGCCACTCTGTTTTAGAATACTGTTTCAAATTAAATTTCCTCACATGTAATTTGGTGTGCACTTTAAGTTCTGGCAACTCTCATGTCGGTTGTCCTCTTTCTATAATTATTTTCGTTTCAGAAAAGTCCCTGCTATTAAACTTCCTTTTTAAAAGGCTTTCAATTGCACAGTTGCAGTCGCGTTGTCTGCCAGCATTTTAGCTGTGCCTGTGCATGTAGTCTAATCACACCCACGCCCCTCATACCACAACAATATTAGACTTGCTTCACTTAACCGTGGATAGCTTCTTTCTGATGCATCAAAATACGATCACAAATACAAACTTACGCCATATAAATACACACAATATTTAAAAAAAAAACTTAATGTTACCTATAACACCCAACAAGACTGAAATCACACACAGTTAATTTTCACATAACCATCGAAAGAAGACATTCCTTCGCTGGCCTAGCCAGCAAACCGAAATTTGCTTCCGTTGGTCACTTCGGATGGGACAAATTCATACAGAGATTAATGACGGAAACTTGATCCATCTAACCAAGCAGGGAAAGGGCGGAGGAGGAGGAGGAGGTGGCATGTGGCCTTGAGCAGGAACACACGCTAAATGACAATATTCAAATCCGTATTATTCAAATTGAATTATTTATATATGACTTCTTTTCTTTTCATTTCTTAACTATGGAAGCAATGTTTCCCTTGCTTCCATGCACTGCATGCCACTGGTCATACTGTAATGAGTACAGTCATTGCTATGAAATAGGTGAATCAACAAACGGTCATTTCTAGGCCAAAGATTGGCAAACATGCCTACAACAATACAGGGCCTGTTGAAAGTGGTATTTTCTGTTGGGTACACCCCAACTAGGACCCCAGGCCAACTGAGTTGATAACTGAGAGTGAATAGTTGGCAGTTGATAATCAGCCTGTGAAGAGAAGACTAGGAGGTTGGTCTGAAATGGCTGCCAGCCTGGGAGTTCTGTACAGATGTCTGTGATGAGAGGACCTGACCATGGGAAGCTGAAGAATCTCCACTGTTAAAAGCTGTTGCCAGGGAAGGGCTGGATAAGACAGATTAAGCTATAATATGTTTAGTGGGTTTTGTGGTGATTTGTGAAGTGTGGAATTTAGTGGTAGTGCTATAATTATTTGTAGTTCCAAGTTGTATCAATAAAGCCAATAGCCAACCCTTTTTATGGTCACACGCCTAAGCCATGACAATCTGTTATCAGAAATTGTTGGACTGGACACTGCATTGGATCTTGATCATTATACTGCTATAGTATGAAGATGGAACAGTTGATGGAACACTTTCTGGCTGAAATAAGAACCAACCAAGAGGAAATAAGAACTAATCTAGGCAAGACAAATAAATATAGGGCCACTGACCATTCTTGGAACTTCTGGCCTGTACCGAACAGAGGAAGATGATGGTGCTAAATCTGGAGCAACTGGAACCTTACAAAGGAACTGCTCAGGATGAGTTGCCTTAAGGAGGGATCAGCGAGAGTGGTTGGAGAGAAGTCAACGTGAAAACCAAGCCATGCAGAGGAAAGTGAGACCAGCCACAGCCATTGCAAGTACAGCCTTTGGGAAAAGAAGAAATGGTGGTACACAATTCGGGATGAATAGCCTAACAGTGGAAGTAATGTAATGAGTACAGCACAGCTATTACTTTGCAGTAGGTGACTCAGCGAATGGTCGTTTCTAGGCAATGGATCAATAAACACGCCTTCAACAATAGAGAACTTTTGAAAGTGGTGTTTTCTGTTCAGTTCATCCTAAGGCTATAGAAGGAGAACCCCAGGTCAGCTGAGTTGCTATTTGAGAGAGAGTGGATAGTTGGCAGTTGAAAGGCAGCCTGTGAAGAGATGACTAGGAGGTTGTTGTGAAATGGCCACCAGCCTGGGAGTTGATAGCTCTAAATTGAAAAAATTCAGTTGCAGGATATTCGCAAGACATGAAGGACCTGAGCATGAAATGCTGAAGAATCTCCACTGTTAGAAGCCGTTATTAGGGAACGGCTGTTGAAGACACTGCAGGCTGGAGAAAACTTGGTGTTTACAGTAGTGATTTGTAAAGTGTGGAGATTAGCAATAGCACTGTAATTACTTGTAGTTCCGATGAATGGTCAACAAATCCATTCACCAATCCATATCCCCTCTACATTCACACCCCTAAAATCGAGACAATATTTATATTACACCTCCACACTCATCAGTGTGTGAAATGTTGTCAAATGATCATACGACTCTCTTACCACTAGTTCATAGCAGCTTTAACTTTCTGACACTTCACCTGTAAGTTCTATCCACCACTTGCTTGTGTATGAGAAGTGTAAGTCTTGCTTCTGTACCTCCATTTTTTCAGAAAGCAATCATCTTCTATCATAGCTCTTCTGCTCAACACATTTAAAGTGACACCAACTACCACTATACAATTAACATTTTTTTTATTGTTGTTTTCCTAAAAGTTTCTCTGATATGCGGGAAAACTGGATCATAAAATTAATCTGTCATCACATGATAATGAAAACATTTGTTTGAAAACCTCAAAACTTGAGTATTGCCCCTGCTTACCAGATTCTAATTTGTCTGTCATAAACGTCTACACATGTTACTTTACTTGTCCCACTGTTCCAAAAATTGCAGTCTCAGTTTCTGTGATATTTTCTGTCACTAGGCAAAAAATTGTTATAAAACCCCTTTAATTTAATTTCGGTCATTGAATTCATTTCATTCCAGTGATGTATAATAATTATGCGGCCAACTGTTTAAATGTTGTTTAAATACATTGTTCCTAGATTTTAGCTCAGAAGATGGAGACAAAATATTTCTTCGAAATGACAATAATAACCTACAAGACTTCATGGTGTCACATCCCACAAGACAGTAGTCTTCACAGTCACTACTGGAGAACATCAAACACTGTACCAGATACACAAGCTTAGAAATGTATGCATAGGCTAACAATTAATTCTGGGGCAGTTATTACCTTTTGTTTAACTATTTTGGAAACTATAGGATGTATAGGAGAATTGTGTTAGACACAAAAAACTTGTTTAATTTTTATATGTAATGTGTAGGTATTAACAGTCTTCAAGTGCATACAATCCCATTTACCACTTCTACACTACATGTTTTGGCAGCATGCTGCCATCTTCAGGTGTATCGATCCATCAACTACTTCACTGCTTACCTTTATATGTCCATTTACAAATAATATTAAATTTATATATGTCCTTATATAATAATAAAGTTTATGTATTTAAAACTTGTTAAAACCTATTATCTCATACATCAGATTTTAAATTTGTGTATGGTATTAATCATCCATATGGGGGTCGTTCTTCTTATGTTTCTAATATTGTGTATATTGTGACGTGTTGTGCTATGGAAAATGCCCCTCCCTCCCCGCCAGCCTTGACGTGCTGAGCAGAGCCGAAGTGAGCCGAGTCCCAGCACGCTGGTTGCTATGCAAAGCGAGTAAACACCAGTTGCTAAGCAAAGCGAGTATACAGCAGTTGCTAGAGACGAAAACAGAAAACTGGTCAGTGGTATTTTCTGTGACTTAACAAAGGCCTTTGATAGTGTGAACCATGATATTTTACTTGAGAAAATGGATTTCTATGGTATAAGAGGTATATTTCATAAATTGCTTACCTCATATTTAAGTGATAGATACCAACGAGTAGTANTCTTGGCAAGGACATATATCTAAAACAATAAAGAAATTAAATTCTGCTTGCTTTGCCATTAGGTCTCTGAAATCGTTACTATCTATTAATGATCTAAAAATGATATATTTTGCCTATGCTCACTCTATAATTGTATATGGAATTGCCTTTTGGGGAAATGCCACTAATAGCAAGGATGTCTTCATAGTGCAAAAAAGAATTATAAGGAGTATTATGAATGTAAATTCTAGAGCCTCTTGCCGGGGATTTTTTAAATATTTAAACATATTGCCTTTTTATTCTCAATATATACTTTCGCTTTTGCTTCTGGTGGTGAAAAATATGCATTTGTTTGCACTAAATGCTGAAATACATGTCATAAATACACGACAAAGTACCAGCTTACACGTGCCATTGATAAATTTGGCCAAATATAAGAATAGTGTGTGTTGTATGGGTATTAAAATATTTAATAATCTGCCACATAATTTAAGAAAATTATCGAGTGATTATAAAAAATTTAAGTTAGCTATAAATAATTTTCTCTTAAATCAATCATTTTATTCGATAAATGAATACTTGGAGTGGT